GCAGACGTCGCCCCAAACGGACAGCGGCCGCTGTTGGGCAGGCGACGATCTAGTTTCAAATGGACATTGCCCAGGGCGACGCCGACGGCGAGCCCCGTTCGAAATGGACCAGAAATGCCGCCAACATTCGCCCCCATTCTTTCCGACCCCGTCCGATCGCAGCGACAGTAGGCGGGGTCGGAGGGTCGCACCGCGTGCATCGGCGACGTCGGCGCGGGGAAATTCGGGCCCCAGGATCGAGCCGCGTCGCCGACGCACCTCAGACCTCATCGAATCTCTCCAGCCTCAGTTGGGGTGCCGGGGGGATCTGGCGCCGAACCTCGCGAGTCGCCTGCGCCGCGGTGCCACTCGCCCCGAGTCGCATTCAATTGGGGCCCCTCGGAGGACCCCGGAGGGCGCATGACCTCGAGGAACCTCCGGAGCGGAAGAAAACAAATCCAGAATGGAGCAGACGAGACAAAGGACCGAACCTGTATTTGAAAGGTTTTCGACCATTTGGGACCCCGGGGGCCCCCCTGGAGCCCCCCGCGGGAATCCGGCAAACCACGGCTCCTGATTTTAGATCACACTTTGGTTGATTTTCAGATCTACGCGAACAAATGGAGCGGCAACGTCTGCCTCGGAAAAAAATAATGCGAACACTTCCGCAAACGCATGGCGATGGCAAAGAGGGCGGACAAATCAGCATTTCAGGGGCCTCACGAGACCCCCCCAGGCGCGCCGCGACAGCGGGTGCCGCGCCGCGCGCGGCCTCTGCCAGCTCCGGGGCACGCGCGGCCCCGCGCCAGCACGGCCGCCGCGGCACGCGGGCGCGACGACCCCGGGGGTGGGCGGGCGGGGGAAGTTGCGCGGGAGGAGGGCGCGCGCGCCCCCCCCCCCCTCGCGCGCGCAGCGACCTGCGGCCGAAATTTGCACGCCGCCTCGGGCCCTGGCGGGGCGAAGCGCAGCCGCGCGCGGCGGGCGCGGCCAGCCAGCGCGGCGGCGCCGCGCAGTGCGCGCGCAGAACCGCGCGCGCGTCGCGGCCATTCTCCGCGCCGCAAGTCTCGCGTAGGCCAGCGCGGCGGCAACGCGCAACTCGCGCGCGGGACCTCGCTCGCGTCGCGGCCCCCCCCCCGCGCTGCGACTGCGCGGGCAGGCGCGAAGTGTCCACCGCGCGCGCCGAGGGGCATCTTGCGCGCGCGGTGCAGCGCGACGTTCGCGCGCGCACAAGACGACCCCCCAGGTGCGCCGCAACCATGGGTGTCGCGCCGCGCGCAGCCCCTGCCGGCGCTGGGGCGCGCGGGCGCAGCAACCTCGCTGCAAACAACACCCGCATGGCGCGGTGGCCGCGCCGAGGGCGACGCGGTCGGGCCCCCCCCAACGCCGATCACGCATGCGCGGAGGCGTCGCGCCGCTGGCCTGAGCGAGGCGCCCGCGCCAAAACGTTGCCGCTGCGACCTCTAGCTCTCGCCGTCGTCGCTGGGCGACTCCGCGAGGTGCGCCTCGAACGCAGCCTTGCGCCCAATGCCCTCGCAATCCACGCGGCTGAGAAATGCTGGGCCGCGCCGATCACCGCCTGCCAGGATCGATCGAGATCCAATAAGACCCCCCGCAGGCGGCCGCCGCGGTCCACTAGATCCCGGGCGCCGCCGCGCCACAGGTCGCGCGTTTCAAACTCGACCGCCAGCGGTGCCCCTGACGCAGCCAGCGCTCCGCGCAGGCCGGGCAGCGCTCGCCGACTTGAGATGCCGCCGAAAAGTGCCTCTCCGGCGCCGCGCTGGCTGGTCAGCCGCGCCAGAACGGGCGCGGAGCACGTGGCCCTGCGCGCTGTGCACCAACAACTGCGGGCGACCACCGACGTGGTCTCCCGACTCTTGCGCCTCGGCAAATGGACGCGGGCCTCGCTCTTGCACAGCGGGAGAGCCGGGCGCCCTGTCGCGGATGCCTCCTGCCGTGCTGCGCCCGGCCCGTGAGCGCGGGCCGCTGCCGAGGATGGCGCGCAGCCGCGCGGCGTTAACCCACTCCGACGGGGCTCCCGCGTGCGCGAACAACGCGTTGGATCGCGCGCGCACAAGATGCCCCTCGGTGCGCGTGGTCGACACTTCACGGCTGCGCGCGCAGTCAAGCTGCGGGGGTGGCCGCGTCGCGCGCGCGGTTCTGCGCGCGAGCTGCGTGGCGCCGCTGCGCTGGCTGGCCACGTCCAGCGCGCGCGGCTGTGCTTCGCCCCGCCTGGGCCCAAGGCGGCATGCAAGTTTCGGCCACAGGTCGTTGCGCGCGCGGGGGGGGGGGGGGTGGGGCACGTGCGCCTCCGCCGGCGGCGGCGTTTCCCACCCACCCACCCCCAGGGTTGCTGAGCCCACGTGCCGCGGCGGCCGTGCCAGCGCGGGGCCGCGCGTGCCCTGGCGCTGGCAGAGGCCGCGCGCGGCGCGGCATCCATTGTCGCGGCGCGCCTGGGGGGGGGTTTGTGAGGCCCCTGAAATGCCGAGTTGTCCGCCCTCTTTGCCATCGCCATGCGTTTGCGGAAATCTTCGCGTTATCGCACCTGGAAAGCCGCCGTTGCGTTGCGGCACCCGTTGTCGCATCGCACCTGGGAAGCCGCCGCGGGAGGAGGGGCGCGCGCGCCCCCGCCCACGCACGCACAACGACCTGCGGCCGAAACTTGCATCCCGCCTCGGGCCCAGGCGGGGCGAAACACAGCCGCGCGCGGCGGGCGCGGCCAGCCAGCGCGGCGGCGCCGCGCAGTGCGCGCGCAGAACCGCGCGCGCGTCGCGGCCACTCCCCGCGCCGCGATTCTCGCGCGGGCCAGCGCGGCGGCGACGCGCAACTCACGCGCGGGACCTCGCTCGCGTCGCGGCCCCCCCCGCGCTGCGACTGCGCGGGCAGGCGCGAAGTGTCCGCCGCGCGCGCCGAGGGGCATCTTGCGCGCGCGGTGCAGCGCGACGTTCGCGCGCGCACAAGACGACCCCCCAGGTGCGCCGCAACAATGGGTGTCGCGCCGCGCGCAGCCCCTGCCGGCGCTGGGGCGCGCGGGCGCAGCAACCTCACTGCAGACAACACCCGCATGGCGCGGTGGCCGCGCCGAGGGCGACGCGGTCGGGCCCCCCCCCCAACGCCGATCACGCATGCGCGGAGGCGTCGCGCCGCTGGCCTGAGCGCGGCGCCCGCGCCGAAACGTTGCCCCTGCGACCTCTAGCTCTCGCCGTCGTCGCTGGGCGACTCCGCGAGGTGCGCCTCGAGCGCAGCCTTGCGCTCAATGCCCTCGCAATCCACGCGGCTGAAAAATGCTGGGCCGCGCCGATCACCGCCTGCCAGGATCGATCGAGATCCAATAAGATCCCCCGCAGGCGGCCGCCGCGGTCCACTATATCCCGGGCGCCGCCGCGCCGCAGGTCGCGCGTTTCAAACTCGACCGCCAGCGGTGCCCCTGACGCAGCCAGCGCTCCGCGCAGGCCGGACAGCGCTCGCCGACTTGAGATGCCGCCGAAAAGTGCCTCTCCGGCGCCGCGCTGGCTGGTCAGCCGCGCCGGAGCGGGCGCGGAACACGTGGCCCTGCGCGCTGTGCACCAACAACTGCGGGCGACCACCGACGTGGTCTCCCGACTCTTGCGCCTCGGCAAATGGACGCGGGCCTCGCTCTTGCACAGCGGGAGAGCCGGGCGCCCTGTCGCGGATGCCTCCTGCTGTGCTGCGCCCGGCCCGTGAGCGCGGGCCGCTGCCGAGGATGGCGCGCAGCCGCGCGGCGTTAACCCACTCCGACGGGGCTCCCGCGTGCGCGAACAACGCGTTGGATCGCGCGCGCACAAGATGCCCCTCGGTGCGCGTGGTCGACACTTCACGGCTGCGCGCGCAGTCAAGCCGCGGGGGTGGCCGCGTCGCGCGCGCGGTTCTGCGCGCGAGCTGCGTGGCGCCGCTGCGCTGGCTGGCCACGTCCAGCGCGCGCGGCTGTGCTTCGCCCCGCCTGGGCCCAAGGCGGCATGCAAGTTTCGGCCACAGGTCGTTGCGCGCGCGGGGGGGGGGGGGCACGTGCGCCTTCCACCGGCGGCGGCGTTTCCCACCCACCCACCCCCAGGGTTGCTGAGCCCACGTGCCGCGGCGGCCGTGCCAGCGCGGGGCAACGCGTGCCCTGGCGCTGGCAGAGGCCGCGCGCGGCGCGGTATCCATTGTCGCGGCGCGCCTGGGGGGGGTTTGCGAGGCCCCTGAAATGCCGAGTTGTCCGCCCTCTTTGCCATCGCCATGCGTTTGCGGAAATCTTCGCGTTATCGCACCTGGAAAGCCGCCGTTGCGTTGCGGCACCCGTTGTCGCATCGCACCTGGGAAGCCGCCGCGGGAGGAGGGGCGCACGTGCCCCCGCCCACACACGCACAACGACCTGCGGCCGAAACTTGCATCCCGCCTCGGGCCCAGGCGGGGCGAAACACAGCCGCGCGCGGCGGGCGCGGCCAGCCAGCGCGGCGGCGCCGCGCAGTGCGCGCGCAGAACCGCGCGCGCGTCGCGGCCACTCCCCGCGTCGCGACTCTCGGGCAGGCCAGCGCGGCGGCGACGCGCAACTCACGCGCAGGACCTCGCTCGCGTCGCGGCCTCCCCCGCGCGGCGACTGCGCGCGCAGGCGTGAAGTGTCGACCCCGCGCGCCGAGGGGCATTTTTTGCGCGCGATACATCGCGCCGTTCGCGCACAGAAAAATAGGCTAGAAATTTCGGCCCTACCGGCGAAATCGATCGCCCACTGTAGGGCGGATCTGGTGTCAGGGTGGCTCCCCCGTCCCCGTGGCTCTCGGGCCGTAGCTTGAACCTCCAGCGGCCGTTCAGGGCGGTCTGGGCACTCCTGGAACGCTCTCGGCGAGGAGCAGCTGATGGAAGGCATCCCGAGGCTGGAAATCGCCGAGAGACCACGAAAACACCAGAAAGCTTCGAACCTAACGGAGGCTCGGAGGCTGCCCAGGAAGCCTCCGTCAGCCCCCCGGTGCCGTCCACGCCAAGGAGGGTGTGGGGGCGGCGGCAACGCGCCGCGAGAGGCCTCCCGACTAGGTGGCCCCGCAGAGCTCCGGGAATGCCGGCGCGGTCGGCCCTGGCGGCGCTTCCGCGGCGATGGCGTCGCCGGCGCGGGAGGCCATGGCGGCAAGCTGCGGGTCCTGCAGGAACCTCGCGACCGCCGCCGCCACCTCTGATGGGGGGCGGATGGCGAGGACGAGGACGAGGACAAGGAGAGGGAGGAGGAGGAGGAGGAGGAGGAGGACGAGGACGAGGACGAGGACGATGACAAGGAGGAGGAGGAGGAGGAGGAAGAGGAGGAGGAGGGAGGAGGAGGAGGAGGAGGAGGAGGAGCGACTCTTTTCTTTTGGGGCGACTCTTTGGGGTGAGGGGGGCGCGCGTCGTGCCCCCCCACCAGGAGGAGGAGGAGGAGGAGGAGGAGGAGGAGGAGGAGGAGGTGGCGGAGGAGGAGGTGGCGGAGGAGGAGGAGGAAGAGGAAGAGGAGGAGGAGAGACGACGACCTTCTGGAGTTCTACATGATCGAACTAGCCACAAGCTCAACTACAAGCTGCGCAAGTCCGCTTTTGCCTTGTACCTGGCAGGCAAAGGAACACATCAAGCAAATAAAGACCCAGCGCAAAGAATACACCGAACATCTACAGTCCTACCTGGGAGCAGCACGTGCCCACCACACACATTTACGACTACTGCGGCACTCACTTTCATCCAGCATGGTCTACAGCCGTACGAGTAGCACCAAGTAGCGAGCAGCCTTGGCACCACTCAAGACTACACACGTCATAAAACAGCGAGCTAAGGAACAACACCAAGGTACAACTAGCTGACCTGTTTGCCAACTGCCACCTATTCTCCCAAGCAGAAGGCTGGAACCCACTTAGCAAGACCAGCTCAATACAACTCAGCACCGCGAGAAATCAGTCCTACCGCAGTGCTACGACGACGCGCACCAGCGACTCACATATAACCGACCAGCGGCTACACACCAGTGTCCGACGAAACACCACACATACTACTGCGGCGCATCGGCCTCACCCACGGGCAGCGGGCGCAGGGCGGAATAATCGGCACACGAGGAGGCTGAACAATCATTGGGGCTGACATTGCCGCCCTACTTACGACATCGCCCAAAACCCAGCGGATCTGGAGTCATGGCCCCCTGAGGCTGGGGAGGAGGAGGAGGAGGAGGAGGAGGAGGAGGAGGAGGAGGAGGAGGAGGAGGAGGAGGAGGAGGAGGAGGAGGAGGAGGAGGAGGAGGAGGAGGAGGAGGAGGAGGAGGAGGAAGGAGGAGGAGGAGGAGGAGGAGGAGGAGGAGGAGGAGGAGGAGGAGGAGAGGAGGAGGAAGAGGAGGAAGAGGAGGAAGGAAGGGAGGGGACGAGGAGGAGGAGAGGAAGGAGGCGAGGACGAGAGGAAGGAGGAGGAAGGAGGAGGAGGAGAAAGGAAGGAGAGGAGAAAGGGGGAGGAGGAGGAGGAGGAGAGAGGGAGGAGAGGAGGGAGGAGGAGGAGGAGGAGGAGCTCGTCCCCCGCGTTTTCTCGGGTCGTGACTCGGCTCTCCAGCGGCCGTTCGGGACGTTCCCCCAAGGCGCCTCTCGGCGAGGCGCAGCCGCTGGAAGGCACCCCGAGACTGGAAAACCGTCGAGAACAGACGAAAACGCACGGAACCTCGAAGAAGTCGAGCCTCGAAGCATATCCAGGACCACGAGTCGGGCAACAAACAATGACATAAACAAAAAACTCGGAGGTCCGCGCGGACTTCTTGGATCGGCGCTGGACCCCCCTCCCTGGCGCGCGGAGCGCGCCAGGGGCGGCGCCGGAGGCGCCACCAGGAGAGCCCCAATGCCGATCCGAGGAAAACGCGCGGACCTCCGAGTTCCTGTGTTTATGTCATTGCGTGTTCCCCCGAGCCTCGAGCCTCGACGGGGGTCTTGGCCTGCATCCCGTGGAGAACCGTCGAAGCCTGCCCCGAAGCGGTTGTGGATGCCATGACAATGGACACCCTAACAGTCCCATCATCGAATGAAACATGTCTGCAACATGTCTGCAACATGTCCTGCAAATGTTTTGAAACACTTTTTAGACATCTGGAAATTATCTCGCAGCATGCTTCTTCTCCATTGATCGACCTCCACAACCGAAGCGTGTCAAGGACCTTGAACCACGATAGAGCCTCGAGGGGGTGGAGGAGGAGGAGGCGGAGGAGGAGGAGGAGGAGGAGGAGGGGGAGGAGGAGGAGGAGGAGCGGAGAAGGAGGAGGAGGAGGAGGAGGGGGAGGAAGGGGGGGGAGGAGGGGGAGGAGGAGGCGAGAGGAGAGGAGGAGGAGGAGGAGGAGGAGGAGGAGGAGGAGGGAGGAGGGGGAGGCGGGGGCTCGGTCTGCTTCGGGGCGCCGCCTCGGGCTCGGCCTCGTCCGCGGCGCGGCCGCCCGCCCGCAGCGCCAGGCCGCCAGCGGGACGCAGCAGCACGGCCTCGGGGAACTTCGGGGCCTCCGCGCGGTCGCGCCTCTCGTGGAGGGGGATCCTTCGAGCAGGCGATCGGCTGCAGAACTGACTCGCCCTGTTTGTTTTCTTCATCGAGTCTACGAGGAAATGCGCAGCATGTTCGTATATCTGCTGAGCGTTATGCGTGTTGTAGCTTCGACGAAAAAGCAATCGTGGGGTACATCAGTTCTGCAGTCGATCTCCTACTCGAATCCTGGAGGGAAAGGAAGCCCTGAGACCCATGGGGCGCAGGACAGCATACTAGTACCATGTGACGCCTTCGAAGTGGATGTCCAACTGGAAGAAATAGTACCTACAAGCATCTTATAATACAGCGTTGTTCCAGCCGCGTTGCCGAACCAGCGTCGCCCCCCAAGAAGCGCCGCACACATAGTACAAGTACGTCTGAGTCCGACCGAATCCGAGCGTTGCGATTTTGTCTCAACCAGCGCTTTTGCCTTGTTTCGGGCCCTGAGGCCATCACGGATCGTCCGGCGCGTAAAATTCAGCAGAAAGCTAGGGGCCAAGGGTCTTGGGCTCTGCGCGGCCGCGCCTCTCGTGGAGGGGGGTCCTGGAGGGAAAGGACGCGATGAAGAAAGCTCTGAGGAGGACAAGGTACTTCTACCGCTGCCCGTCCCCTGTTTTCGCCCTCTTGGGCCTCCTGGGAGGCCCTCGTGGCCACGGCTGGGCTCGCCTCGAAGCTCGGGTCAGAACGAGGCCCAGGGAGAGGTCCGGGAAGCGGCGGTATCGCTACCTTTGGGCTCCTCGAAAGCAATGACCATGACCAAGACTGAACGCCGAAACGTCGGTGCCGATCTTGGTCATCGCCCGTCTTTCGGGTCGGGCGAAAGGGGGGGATAGCAAAGGGGGGGGTTGAGAATCAGCTCACGTAGCTGATTTTCCCGGCGCCTCCCGGCGCCGGGAGGCGCCCATGTATCGAGGAATGGGCCCGGCGGCGAGGCCGAAACCAGCTGCATGCAGCAGATTTCGTACCCCCCCTTTCCCTATCCCCCCTTTCGTTCGGCCCGAGTCTTGGTCATCGCCGACTCGTGGAGCATCCTCGCGACATCGGCGGCGATGGGCACGGACCGTGGCCCAGAGCGGCGCCAGCAAGAGCCCGCGACGTCCTGGCCACGGTCATCGTCCTGCTTCCCTCGACATGAGCGGGCGTTGGCAGAGCTGGGCTTTGTGGAACCTGGTTCAGTGATTTGTACCGGGGGCGCCCCCCCGTCCCATTTCCACTAACCGGAACTGCCGTCACCCGAAAAACACCAGTTACGGCAAACCTGGTTTAGTGAATCTGGCCAATTGAGAGGCCTCAGGGCCCTACCACTAACCGGGTCCCCTTACCCGGGGTCCTGGCTATACCCGACATGAGGGGGAGCCTCGGCGGCCAAGAAGAAGCCGAGCGCAAAGAGGGGCCATGACTCGGCTCCCCGGCGGCCGTTCGGGGACGAAGCGGGCACGCCTGGAAACCGCCCTCGGCGAGGCGCAGCTGCTGAAGAGCATCCCGAGGCTGGAAGCCGCCAGGACCCGACGAAAACGCCCGAGAGCCTCGAGACTTCTTCCCTCGAGGTCCGGCTCGTTCTTCCCAGCTCATTGGTGGTCGTCGTTCCATGCAGTCTAGAGTGGCTTGTGTGATGCGCTGTCTGACTAGGTTGCCAACTGCTCGTACCCACTCGTAGCACCCGAGTTGTGCTGCTGGTAGCGCCTGCTCCCCAAGACCCGCGAGGTCCCCGCGCGGCTTCTTCCCTCGAGGTCCTGCGGGCCTCCCCCAGGGCGGCCACCAGGGCGAAGCTGCGGGCCGAGGCGGCCACCGCCTGCCGGATGTCCGCGAAGTTGAAGTCGTGGACCAGCACGTAGCGCAGGCCTGGCAGCTGGGCGCACGCCCTCAGGTCGGCAGCGACGGCATCCCGCGAGTGCAGCGCGTCCACGAACGCCACCTGGACAGCGTGCGCTCCCCTCCCGCTGCGGTCTGGCCCGAGGCCCGGTGCCGTGCACCGCGCCAGGCCGCGCCCGCGCGCACGCGGTGGGGGCCCCTCGCTCCCTCCGGCACTGCTCCACTGGGCTCCGCCGAAGGAAGAATGCACACGTCCGAGCGATGCCAAGTCCAGAGCCCGCCTCCTCCGCCCCGTCGTCCCCTCCGCCCTTGCTCGCTGTCGCTCTTCTCGCCGCCGCGGGGCTCTGGAGCTGTGGCGCCCACGGGGGCTCGCAAAGACCGTGACCTCCAAGATACGCGCGCGACCATGCGGGGGGAATATAAGCCCCCCTCCCGACGTACGATCGTTACCGCTACCCAGGAGGGCTTGGCCCGGGTAGAACGACTGTTGCGCGCCAGAGGAAAAAAACTGTCTTGGCGAAGGACCCACCCATATGCAGTTGTGGGCACCGCAAGGCCAGCGGGACGATCGAAGGGGAACTCGCTGTGAGGCCGCGAACCGTGTGAGACGGGGGAACCTGTGAGGGGTGTGCCACATGGTGCGGGTACGGCCTGCGTGCTGTGGGGGAGACGCATGCGATGACGGCCGCTGTGACCTTCGGTGGAGCTCCTCATGGGACCACGAAACGTGTGAGGGCCGTGCCGACATGGGCGGGGAAGGCGCGCGCGAGAACGGCCGCAAGGGCCTTCGGTTGAGCTCGCTATGAGGCTGTGAAGCGTGTGAGGGGTGTACCGATATGGATGGGTCGGACGCGTGCGGGCGGCGCCCCTGGGACCTTCGGTGGAGCTCACCATGGGACCACGATCCTCGTGAGGGGGTGTGCCGAAATGGATGGGTCGGACGCGTGCGGGCGGCGTCACTGGGACCATCGGTGGAGCACCCTGTGAGGCCACAGCGCGAGAGGGGTATGCCGAACTGGGTGGGTCGGACGCATGCGGGCGGCGCCTCTGGGACCTTCAGTGGAGCCCCCTATGGGGCCACGAAACGTGTAAGGCGCGTGCCAAAGCTGATGGCGATGATGGCGATGATAACGGCGATGCTGCTGCTGATGCGGCTGCTGCTGCTGCTGATGATGATGATGATGATGATGATGACGATGATGATGATGATGATGTTGATGATGATGATGATGATGATGATGATGATGATGATGATGATGATGATGATGATGATGATGATGATGATGATGATGATGATGATGATGATGATGATGATGATGATGATGATGATGTTGCTGATGAAGAATGATGAAGGTGAGATGATGCTGATGGGATATGTGATGGTGATGGTGATGGCGATGATGATGGTGGGTGATGGTGATGTGATGGGAATGGACGATGGCGATGATGATGATGATGATGATGTGATGATGATGATGATGATGATGATGATGATGATGCTGCTGCTGCTGCTGATGCTGATGCTGATGCTGATGCTGATGCTGATGCTGATGCTGAGGATGATGATGCTGCTGTTGCTGATGATGCTGATGTTGCTGATGAGGAGGATGATGGTAATGATGACGACGATGCTGACATGCGAAGAGCAGAGACAGGGATGGGAGGAGGAAGGAGGAGGAGAAGGAGGAAGAGGAGGAGGAGGAGGAGGAGGAGGAGGAGGAGGAGGAGCAGAGGAGGAGGAACGCGGAGCGCTGTCCCTTCCAAACGAGGACCCAATACCCCAATATTATTGGGAAAAACAAGCTCACCGCTGCGCCGGCCGCGTGCTTCCCAGGCATTTTGGGACCGCCGTGCACGGTGCGAAGAATTTGGAAATGCTGGGATGCACGAGTCGCTGCCAATACGCCGTGACGGGGCACATGCGCTTCGGGCCCCTGAAGATGTTTCCCAGTTGTGTTCTTAGGAGGCAGCGCCTGGGAGGCCTTCGCGGGAACGACTGTCTGTAAGGGCTGCAGTGAGCCGGATCAGGGAGCCACGTCAGATTAAGCAAGATCTAGCCCAGGATTGAGCCGGTAAGGCCGAATGAAGCGCAACTAGACGAAACTAGCTCGGATTTGGCTTAAGTCGGGCGTGTCCCCCTACAGGGGGATTCTCGACGAAAAATAAAAAATACCCCAAAGATAGTCCAAAAATAGTCCAAAGATAGTCTGGGGACTATTTTTTTATTGTTTTTTTTTGACTTTTTGGGGGTATGTTTGGGGTATCTTTTATTTTTCGTCGAAAATCCCCATGTCGGGGGACACGCCCGACATAAAACTAGCTCGGATTTGGCTGGTCTTCGACCATGGATACACGAGCGCGGATGGAGCTGCAACCTCAATCCTTCCTGCGAGGCACAGATTGCTGCCCCCACCGCATCGGGGCGTCTCGGGGGAGGAGGGAGTCCACTTTTGCCCTGCCGCTCGGTGCGTACGCAACGGAGGGGGCGGATGCTCACTCCTCGTCCTCGCCGGCGCCCTCCTCCTCGTCCTCTTTCTTCTTCTGCGACTCGGCAGCCTTGTCCATGAAGGCCTGCATGAGCGTCTTGTAGTACGTCGAATCGCCCTTCTTGCACTCCTTGCCGTGGGCCTTTGCCGCCTCGAGGCGGGCCTTCTTCTTCGCCTGCACCAGCCCCTCCTCCGGGGTACCCTTCTCGTGGCTCTTGGCCCTCAGGGCCCGCTTGTGCAGCACGCCAGGGTTCAACTTTGCCATGATCGCGGAGTTCTTCAGCGGGTTCTTCTTGACAGCGAACCTCTTGGGGGGCTCAAGCTTCGGCTTCAGGACGGACTGCACCTCGGTGCTGTTGATGATGCGCGCCACGTCCGCGTTCTCCATCTGCGCTCGCGGGATCGTGTAGCCCTTCTTCTGCGAGGCCGTGGTGAAGCTGCCGTAGATCTCATCGAGCTTCTTCATGGCGCCCTCGGTGAAAATGAGGAAGCGGCCGAAGTTGCCACCCGGCGCAAGCTTGAGCAAGTTCATCCGGGTCACGCACATCGTCTCCACGCCGGGGATGTTGCGCATGGCACGGACGATGCCGTTGTCCTCTTCGTAAATCACGAGCGGGCCCTTGCGCATCGTGTACCTGCGGTTGCGCATCTTGCCCTTGCCGGCACGGACCTTCTTCGAGTCGGCGATCCTCTGCAGCTCCTCCTCGCACCCGAGCTTGTTCAGCAGCTCCACCGCCTGCTTCGTCTTCTGCACGGACTCGGCCGCGGAGGACACCACCAGCGGCAGCTCCGAGACGGCGCCGATCCGGTGGCCGCGGGCCATGACGAGGGGCGGCAGCGAGCTCGCGGCCAGGCACGTGGCCACCGCGTGGCGCTTCTGCGTGACGTTCACGCGGCGGTGCCAGCGGCGCCAGATCTTGGTGGGGCAGAACATGCCTCCGCCGCGCGCCTGGTTGCCGAAGGCGGCCTGGCCCGCCCGGTGCGTGCCGCCGCCCGGGGCCCGCGGGATGCGCGCCACCGCGCGGCCGGTGCCCCAGGACTCCGCGGCGGTCTCGTACCCGGCCCGGGGGGTCACGGCGTAGGCCTGGCGCTTGTTCTTGGAGACGGCGGTGTGGATGTATAGGGGGCCACATGCGCACCCTACCCCTACCCTGACTCCGGATCCGCCCTACTTTGGCTTTTTTCCCAACTTAAAATTGCGTCGGAAATCCACCTATAAGAGGCCGAAAAAGTAGGGCGGAAATTGCTGCACCCAACATAAAATAGGGCGGAAATCCACAGAAACAGCAACAGAAAAGTAGGGCGGAAATTGACATCAGCGGGGCTTGAAAAGTAAGGCGGAAATTCCAAAACCCACTTACGAATTTCCCCAAAGTAGGGCGGATCCGGAGTCAGGGTACCCTAACGATTCTGAGGGGAGAGGGCGGGGTTCACTTCGTTCGGGAGCTCCCGAGCGAAGTGAACCCCCCCCCGCTCCCCCTCCGAAATCGTGGGGGGTAGGGGCAGGGTTCGCATGTGGCCCCCTAATGTAGCGCACCAGGTCGGGGCGCAGCGGCGACGTCAGCACGGTGGGCATCGGCACGGAGCCCGACTTCTCCGAGGGGTCGTCGGAGCTGTAGACGGACACGACGGGCCTCGCTGTGGCCATCTCGCCTGACTGCAGCAGCAAAGGGGCAGGTGACCGCCTGTCGACCGCAACTCTCTGAGCCCGAGCTTGAGCCAGAACGGGTGCGGGAGGAAGAAGTGGAGGAGGGGTGATGATGAGGCCCTCCTTCCCATCCCCACTCCGCCCACATCGAGGTGGCAAATGTGCAAGGCAGCGCAACTAGATATTAGACCAGCAGCGCGATACCTCACAGGCAGTGTTCAAAATTGTCCGAGGCTGCGCTGTGCTGTGTCGGGCACATGGCTTCGTTGGTGAGCTTCGCTTCGAGCAGTATGTTGGACCCCGATACATTGAGCTCAGCATGTGCCCACGAGGATGGTCCAGGTGGATGTGCTATTGGCCTTCCCCTCAAAACGTGAGAACAACAATCCAGTTTCGGGAGGGGCGTTCTGTGGTCCCACCGCAGCCCCCAGCCCCCCCCCACCACCACCACAGATAACATTGTGGCGGGTACGCGCGGCATTGGACAACACGAGAAAGGCAGCGGCACAACGAGAGCAAGGAAGAGGGGACTATGATGAAGAGGCACGGCGGGGAGCTTTCTATTCTGAACGCCGCGAACGAACCTCAGACAAAGGACTAGCTGGCACAGCAGGGGTGTACAGTAAGCACCACTGCGCGTATGAACGCTACTGCCACCCGTGAGCATCTACGTTCATGGTAGCTCCGCAGGGCCCGCGACCAGCGTGCCTGTAATCACAGATGCGCCTGCTCCTCCTCCTCCTCCTCTTCCTCCTCCTCCTCCTCCTCCTCCTCCTCCCCCTCCTCCTCCTCCTCCTCCTCCTCCTCCTCCTCTTCCTCCTCCTCCTCCTCCTCCTCCTCCTCCAGGGCACGAGAGGGCTGATGAACACCGATTTGCTTCTGAACACCAGTGCCCGTGAGCGCCACCATGCCTGAGAGCACCATGTCGGATATTACCCCCACCGCACCGAGGATCATAGAGAGGTGCTGTGGGCACCAGAGTGCTTGAGCACCCCGGGTCCTGCAACCACAACGAAGCTTGTGCGGACAGCCCCGCGCATGAACACTAGAGGATCTGTGACCATCACCGTGCCTGCCAGCGGCACAGGGCCGACCAAGGCCGATGAGCACCACAACGCATATGAATTCCGCAGGAAGTATCCCCACCACGGCTCCTGTGGGCGACTCTCGTGCTCAATCCATAAAGTGCTCGTGTTAGCCAGCGTGGACCCCAAACAGTGTTTTCTGGTAATATGCGCGGTGCAATCTACATGGTGTACTCCATGTGGTGCAACCTCTAGGTGGCGCAGAGCAACCCGAAGCAATGCCAAGCACTGCAAAGGAATGCAGAGCAGCGCAAGAAATGCACAGCACGTCAATAAAAGCAGTGCGAAGCAGTGCAAGCCAGTGACATGCAGCGGCGGCGGCGACCACAGGGCGGTGGACCCAGCGCGCAGGACCATACGGCGGGCGGCGACGAGGCGGCGACGGGGCGGCGACGGCGGTCGCATAGCCGCCAGGCCGCTGCGCAGGTTCGGACGACGGGCGGCGACGGGGCGGCACCGGGGCGGCGACGGCGGCCACGTGGCCGCCAGAGCGCCCCGCAGGCTCACGGGGGCGGGCGGCGCCGGAGCGGCGGCGGCAGCCACACAGAGCTGCAAGGCCGTCGCTCAGGCCCAGGCGACGGGCGGCGACTGAGCGGCGACGGCGGCCACACATACAGGCCTCGGGAAAAAATAGCGAACACTCATGCCACATTCATCTGTGAACGCCTCCCCCTCGCCCCAATGTTCAGAGTTGGCGGTGGGTCTGATGAGTTGCACCTCGACCGCAGTCTCCCCCGCGCGTGCCAACCTTGCGTTTGGGGGGCAGGGGGGGTGTTCACTAATTGTTTCCCTCTACAGTAGCGGCGTGACGAAAGTTCCTTTTGCAATTTCGAGGAGCCGTTGACGTGCCAAAACGGCATGAGCCCCCCTTCCTCCCTTAATCTCCTTACAAGAAGAGACTTGTTGGGGCTCCCAACGATGGGATCATTAGGCCGTTGGGGTCACGGTGCTTGGGCGCTTGTTAATCATACATTGTAGATGGCAGGCTGAAGTTATCCAGAATATTGAAAAATATCACGGCCCGTCCCAGATCCTGGCCCAATGATCCCATTGGTTTTCCACATGCGAAACAGTTATCCCGAGGTCTTCCTGAGTAATACCTTTTACCCTTCGGTGATTTCGGGCCTTTGCATCTCAGAAGAGACTGTTGGTTGTCTCGGCGAAGAAGCCGCCAGACCGCCGCGCAGACCCGGTTCCTCAGAAAAGCTTGAGGAGCCCCATGCGTGCAAGCACTGCTTGGGGAAATGGACGCCTGCGTCTGCGGCGCCAAGGCACTGGTTCCCCGTTGGGGTAACTGCATTGGCTTCTTCAGTCTGCGTGGCTGTGCCAGTCTGCACTCCTGCTGAAAACAAGGCAAGATCCTGGATGTCGTTGCCCGCGAGGAGGGAGAGCCACGGGTCCCTGTACGCGTCCAGCGTCAGCCACACCACGTTGCCCCGGGCGCCCGCCCCGCGCGCCGCCGCGGCACGGTGCGCGCTGGTCAGGAGGTCGACGGCGATGACCCGCGCGAAGAGCGCGCTAAGCACCTCGGTGGTGTGGCCGTGGGCGGACCCCAGCTCCAGCACGGTCCAGGCCGCGGCGGTGCCGGTGCCGCCGAAGATGTCGACGAGGTCGGCGGCGAGGCGCCTGGAGGTGAACAGGTGGTCCTCTGGGGGCAGGTGCCGCGCCAGCTCCTGATGGTCTGGCCCAACGCGGGGGTGCTCGCGTCGGGCGCGGCCAGACACGACCCTGTCCGTGTCGAGCCCCTCCCGTGACGAGCCCCTCGCCCTCGAGACCCCCCATCTGGCGGCGATCGCCACAGAAGGGGGTCGGCTTGCTGGGAGCGGGTCAAGCAGCCCCTGAGCACATGCAGCCTATAAAGGCGGCCCCAGCTGCCCTCCACGGCCCCCCCCCCCCTGACTCTGGATCCGCCTTACTTTGTCGCAAAAAGGGCGGCACTGTCCGCCATGCATTCCACGCTCCTTTGATGTCGACTTCCGCCCTGCTTTTCCATCGCTGTTGCCGCCCTCCTCTTGCGGATGTCCGCCCTACTTTGTGGACCATTTGGCCCAAGTGCTGCACAGAGCTGTGGCACCTTCCGCAAACAACCATGGCGGACACTGCCGCCTTACTTCGCCAAGACGGAACTTCCCGCTTTGCTTTGTCGCATCCTACGGGGTGCATTTCTGACACAGTTTAAACTGGATCGTCGACCAAAATACGGTGGACCCAGAGTTGGGGTAATTGGTCCAAAGCGGTACCAGAGCGCCGCTGTAGGTGGCGCGGGGGTGTCGAGACCACCCTGGGGGTCTGTTGAAGCTGGCCTGGCCTGGACCACCTTCACGGGCTGCCTGCGCGCAGCCCCCCAGAGGTTCCAAAACGTCCAAAACCGAGGTTCCACCTCCACCATGTAATGTTGTGCCCCCTCCATTTCGAAAGCTCCAAAGGGCTTCGGTCGTCGCCGCCGCCGTCGGCGCCGCCGCCGCGGTTCCTGCAGCCTCCGCTGCCGCCGAGCCGACGTTGCCGCCGCCGCCGTCGTCTCCGTCGCCGCCGACGCCGTCGCGGCCGCAGTCGCCGCCGTCGTCGCGGTCGTCTTGGAGTCTCTGGTGGCCCAGGCCCTGCCGTCCTGATCGTCGGCGAAGTCCACCATGGTGAACTCTGGCTCGCGGGCGGGCTGCGCTGGCACCGACAGCGGGCCGCCCAGCGCCAGCACCAGCGCAAGGGGCGCCCTCCTCAGACACTCCGCCGGCGTCATCTTTGCAATATGCAGAAGGCACAACTGCACAACCCCCATGCCTTGCCAAGGCCCTTGGACCCAGTGCCCTGGCCCCTCCTGGCCACGGCTAGGAGGGTGCATGCACTATCCTGAAGCCCAGGATGGCCCTGGCCAGGCAAGGTGGCGATGTGCAGAAGGCCTCTGCGGATTCGACGCGTGGTCCCCGGAGCGCTCCGCCCCACCCCTGGGACCGACGTCTCGCCCCGAGCCGTTGTTTCTGATGACGCCTGGCCCAGAAAGACCACCT